CCTGTGTGTGTGTGTGTGTGTAGTGAACGTCGGCTGTTGGAGTTTGAGCTTGCAGGCAGCACGCGACTCCAGGCCGAAGGAGGTGCGTCCGGCGGCCGTCCATCGCTGCGGTTATCCGTGATATCGAGACGAACGCAGCGGCCCCCCTTGTTCTGAGGAGCGTGTCCACAGAAATGCCGATGTCAGCGCTCTTCTTGTGTTGCTATTGGTCAGCGGGGAGCCTGAGAGCTGAATGCGTTCGATTGAATGTGGCGATTGGCTTTCGCCGAGTGGCACGCTCCAGCGCCGGGCTGTTGAGGAGGTCTGCAGAACACCCACGGGTGGCGGCGTGGGTGCTTTATGAACTGCACCGCCCACTGGTTTTTTAAAGTTTGGTTTTGGAACCCATTGATGCATGGGCAGAATTCTTTGTAGGCCGATGCGCAATTTGTCTTATGGAACCAAAATGTTCATAATACGTGGCCGTCATCGTAGCATTGATCGATTTGAAGCGAATGCCCAGTTTTTTTTTCATTTTCTGTGTAGTCAGCCTCTGCATAACTAAAGGCAGCCAGTACGCAGTCTCATCGTGCGCGACCACGCCGCCCCGTCTCGCTCGCGTTTCTGAACGCGCGTGTGCCCCGTGCGTTCACAGACATGGAAGACCATCAACAACTTCTCAGTTCGCGTGAAGCACCTGAACCCGGTGACGGGTCGCTACGTGAAGATGGCGCTGCAGCTGTACCAGGTGGACGGGCGCAGCTACCTGCTCGACTTCAAGTCGATCCCAGCGACGACTCTGCGCCGCCGGCCGCCAGCGGTGAGTGGCCGCCGGCGCGCCGTCGGCCGCCCCCGCCGGGCGCGGCCCGCTGTCGGCGTGGGACCGCAGTTAACCGTATCGTCGAAGCGTCCGCGCCGTTAACCGCTACCGCACTGTCCGTCCGGTGCCGTGTGCTGCGACCGTCGCACGGCTGTCTGCTGCCAGCGGTCACACACACACACACGCAGTCGGCCGCCCTGCCCTGTCCTGTGTCCTGTCCTGTCGTATCCCTGTCCCTGTCCCTGTCCCTGTCCTGTCCCTGTCCTGTCCCTGTCCCTGTCCGTGTCCCTGTCCCTGTCCGTGTCATTGTCCGTGTCAGTGCCCACGTCCCTGTCCATGCCCATGTCCATGTCCATGTCCATGTCCATGTCCTTGTCCTTGTCTCTATCCTGTCCTGCCCTGTTCTGCCCTGTCGCGCCCCGTGAGCAGCCCCAATCCGGCCAACCGGGCCTAGTCCGCCCTTTCTTTCGTCGAGAGCCCCGCGTGCCGCCGTGGTCGCCGCGACCGTTGTCGCGCTGTCGGACCGGAGGTGCGCCTCTGTCAGTCCCACCCTCTCGCCCTGTCACTCGAGCCCACCCTCACTCCTCTCGGGCGTCACCGCTGCCGGCCAGAGCTCACCCCGGACGCCCCCGGTGCGGTGGCGTCCTCAGTTCGCCGCCGCGCTGCTCGGCCCAGCGGCGGTCGTTGGCGATTGGGGTCGTGGTTTTCCGTACTGTACGCGTAGACTAACTGTCGTGAGATTCACCACCGTTTCAACCGCATCCCACGTCGTGTAGCCCGCATGCCCGCCTGCTGGTTCGGTGCGCCACCGGTCGCATGTACCGGCGAGCCGGCCACCGTGCCCGGCCCTCCCCGGGCCCGGCTCTGGCTTTGGTCGCGTCGTCGTCCGGCGCGGCTTGGCTCGGGCCGCCCTAACCCGTGAGCGCAGCCGCACGCGCCCGCCGCCGGGCGCTGCCCCGCCGGCGTCCGGCTGACCCTGACCTCTGACCCGGTAGCCGCCGCCGGCGCCGCCATCCCGTCCGTGGAGATCTGGCCGCCGGTGAACGGGCTGGACGAGAGCGAACGTGAGTGGCGCCCGCCGCCGCCAGGAGCCGGCGCCTGGCTGCTGGCTGCTGGCTGCTGGCTGCGGGCGGCGGCAGGGCCGACCGCTGAGTCGCACGGCTGCTGCTCACGCTGGGGGTCGCGTTTCTGTCCGACGCCACCGCTCTCAGACTGCGCTCGACGTTTCGGTCTCGCTTTGTTTGGTTGTGGCTGGGTTGACATTTTCATGTGCTGAACAGTTGTAGCGGCACGAAAGGCTGTTGTATTAGTACATGCGAATCGCAAAATTATGTGCGCACCGAATCCAGGTGTGGTCGCTATTATCACGCTCCAGCATCTCGTTCAATGGTACTGACGCATGCACTTGGGGTCCTTTAGGGTGTGCGAGTGCATGCCGAAGCCTGGGGTATGGCAAGCATCGATAGCCAGGCATGCGTTCCTCGTCACCTCGAAACCATGCAGGTGTTCTCTGTCATATTTATGTATGCCTTGTAGTTTCCTGTGCTCGGTTTCAGCAACATTTTGCAATGGGCGGTTAAGTTGCTTTACCACCTCTGCTCTACCCGCGCCTCGAGTATTGTTGGACTTGTGTTCGTGCTGACTTGTTACAGGGGTAAGATGCACGAATACGCACCGGGAAACCGTATCTTGGGACAACCCATGGGTTGAGTAACTCGCTTAAGATCGTTCGAGTAAAGTTCGTCGGGATATTATTGTGTAGTATTGAAGGTCATGCAAGCGCCAATGTGAGCTGAAAACGCTAGGGCTAAAAGCGGACTTACATATTGACGGGTACGCGATCAGTTAGCACAACATGGAGGACGCTGTATTTTACGGTGGCATCATTCATAGCACTGCAGCTTTTGAAGTTTCGTTTGTGCGTCACACGGGTGTTGGAGTCCCCCATGGGTAGGCTGTCCTGTGTTTCCCGCCGTCCGTTGACTGGCGCCTGGAGGCGGCCGTGTTCGCGCCGAGCCGAGTGAGTGTGCGGCCTGCGGCGGCCGTGTCTGACCGGGTCCTGTGCGCAGAGCCGGCGGCCCAGCCTGCAGCCGGCCTCCTCACCGGTCAGCCGGCCTCCGCGGGAGCCTCGTCCGCCTCCGGAGGAGCCTCGTCAGCCTCCAGTGAGTGCCGCCGGCTCGGCCCCGACCCGTGTCTCCGGTCTGGTGACCTGACCGGGGCTGGCGCTGCGGCCGCGCTGGTCTTCAGGGCCGCAAACGCGGATGGAAGGCGGCATTGGTGGTCGGAAGGCGGTGTGCAGTGCGGCAAAAGCCTTGAGTAGTCCAGAACGTAAGCCTTATTTGCCGCAAATGTTGATGATTCAGGTATTCCTGTGTCGGGATTCGCAGTATATAGACTCATCTGGTCCCCACCGGATACGTATTTGTATGGTATGTATAGACGGAGCATCAGTTAATGCTCGGACAATTTCACAAATGGCCCGCGGATGGCAACCTGGCCAGCCAGTGAGTCGCACTCATATTTGATCACTCAATTGATATCACCCATTGTCATAGTCTGTCTGAAGTCTGGGACCCGCGAGCCTGTGGGAGCGGGACTGGGTCTGGGGCCTCGGCGCAGGACGACTGCGCCGGGCCGGGGCGTGGCTGCCCAGCCGCCGTCGCTGACGTCCGCCGCGCGTCCCCAGGCGTCGCCAGCTACTCGTCGTCGAGCTCGTCGGGTGCGGAGGAGACGGGCCCGCGGCCGGTCTCGGCGCCGGCCGGCACGCGCGACGGCCGTCTCTCGCAGCAGGTGAGGCGGCCGGACGCGGCTCGAGCTGCCGCCCCGCCGCGGCGGGCGGCGGGGGTGACCCTGAGCTGGGAACTCTCCGAGCGGGGGCCGTCCTTCCGCTCGCTGTTTCCAGCTACCGCGCGTCAACTACTTCGCTCGTATCTCAGCGGTCACCGATGGGGCTGTTCGCTAGGACCGCACGCTCTTCTCGATGGCATGGAGTGACGTTTGGGCCTGGTGTCCGGCAGAGCTCGGCGGACGCTGCCGCCCCAGCCACGGGCGCCCGCCACTACACCATGGAGTTTTTCGAGATGTGCTCGGCGCTCATCACACAGCTGGCCCGCTAGGCGGCGCTGTCCGTCTGTGGCGGCCGCCAAAGGTGGCGTCGCGGCGGCCTGTTGGAAAACTGCGACGCAAGGATCGGAGAGTAGCGGACATGAAGCTCCGAAAGCGTGGGGTTCGCGTAGTGGTACTGCGGCACTCGAATGCTCACCATTAACTTGAGGAACTTGGAGCGACGTGTGGTTTGGGTGTTGTGAGCAATTGTGTCCCGTTTTGGTGAAAGTTAATTGTCCTGCTGTGCCTGGCGCCGTAATCGTACGATAACACGGGCCTGTTCGCCCTGTCATTAGCGATCGTTTTACTAATCTGTGAGTAGTTAGTCGTCTCGCGCATGTAGTCCGCCGCAAACCGTAGATTGAACACCCTTCGCGTCGTGAGATGTTGTGCCGATACCCACATGAGTGCAATGGTAACGTAACCTGGGCGCATCGGTTGATTTGACATTTGATTTTAGCGGCCAGGTATGGGTGGTGCTGCCAGTGCTGAGGGGCGGGGACACGGCGCCGCGCCCGTCGCTCCGGGCGAAGCGTCGGGTGCGGTGTGGGTGTGTGCTGCCCGTGCTGAGGGCGAGGACACGGCGTCGCACCCGTCGCTCCGGGCGGGGCGTCAGGTGCGGTGTGGGGTGGTGCTGCCCGTGCTGAGGGGCGAGGACACGGCGCGCCCCGTCGCTCCGGGCGGGCGTCGGTGCGGTGTGGGTGGTGCTGCCCGTGCTGAGGGGCGAGGACACGGCGTCGCCGCCCGTCGCTCCGGGCGGGCGTCAGGTGCGGTTTGGGTGTGCTGCCCGTGCTGAGGGGCGAGGACACGGCGTCGCACCCGTCGCTCCGGGCGGAGCGTCAGGTGTGGCGCGGCCTTTGAGTCCGCTCGGGAGGGGTAGGGCGACCGCGTGGCCTACCATCCGGGGCTGTGTGCCTGTAGGCTGTTCGGACGGCGGGGGGGGGGGAGGGGAGACGCACCAACCGTCGTGGGTGTGTCGGGATGAGGGGCGGTCTGTTGTGCGTGAGTCTGCTGCGCTAGAATGGAGAGGCTGTGTCGGCGTGCCATTTTAGAGGCTTATGGGCGCATGGTGTGTGTGCTCTCGCGCGGGGTAGACTGTCGGCGCTCGGCGAAGATAGACGGTAGAAACACCAATCCCCGCACCGCGTCCTTCGCGTCGAGTTTTATCCACTGAAGAACGGATTTGGTTGTGACGAATGATGGGCTCCCGCGTTCTTCCGCGCTGAATGGCATTTTCCCTCTGAATGAAGCCGTCGTGCTCAGTTGTGTGCCCCGCGCGGAGTGAGAGCGATTTTGGAGTAACTACGGTTAGGTCGAGCGTCGTCCACGGGTGGAATGGCCGGTCGGAGTTGGTGCCTCTTCTTCGACGCCCGTGGTCTGCGTTGACCGGGCATTTTAGTGTGGCGCGCGGGGTCGACAAAGACCCGCTCGGTAGATTTAACATCGCGCTCCGCATGGCTGGTCCGCGCATGGTGCATGTGTGGCTGCAGACTGCCAGCTAGACATGATGAATACACTGGGATAGATTGACACGCGTGTCATGGCGTCGTGGGATCCCTGCGGCGCCGTCACTTCGCCGGCCAGCGACTGAGCCATATCGAAGGGTCCCGTTAGCTCCTGCGCTGTGCGGTGGTGGCGCGGAGCCCGCTGCCCGCGGCTGCTAGCCCCGCAGAAGCCCGCCATGGTACTGGGGCGGTGAACTTCTCTACTCAGAAGTTCTCTACAGGGGCCTCGCTAAGGGGCCTATATGCTGACTACTACTTACTTAGGGTCCCTTACTGACCGTACAGTATTGCGTTCCGGTTCTACGAAGTGAAGGATCAGCAAGACTAGTAATGAGCTGAGTGCGAACCGGTTGTGCAAATGTGCTCGTGATACGTTTGAAAATATTACTGAGCTGGGACGTCCAAAATATAGAAAGAACATTCCAACCATCCTACTTTAATTCAACGGGAGACTTCCTGATATATTTTACCCCTTCTTCAGCCTTGTTCAGTCGATGTGATCGAAAACGGATTTAGACGCGCTAAGAAAAACAAAAAATCGCATGCAATCAGTATTCCTATCCCATGGTGTAACAAAAGTAGAATCGCTGGTTTCCATTTTAACTGCGGGTAAATATTGCAAAAGTACTGGCAAAGAATACACGAAATGCGCTCACAGTTTGGATGCAATAATAAAATACTTAAGAATGTCGCTGCGTCACATCACTGACGCCGCGCATACATCTTGGGCATGCACATAGCTTTTCCATATTTTGGAAACCGACCTAGTCACGGACGCATACGGCAATATCGCAGCATGCAAAACAGGATAAGCTCACAACGTGTACAAATACCCAGACCCTAAAGCCCACTATCGCACCCCGTATTGCACATTACCCAAGCCGATCGCTCTATTTCAGTTTTTTTCATTTAACATTCCGAGATACACTCGCTGTGGGTGTCCTCGGTTGTTATGAGTGGTGGGTAGCTGGAGAGTTGCGATTGGTGGGTAGCTGAAGAGTTGCGAGTGGTATGTAGATGAAGAGTTGTTATGAGTGGTGGGAAGCTGAAGGGGGTAAGAAGAGTTGGTATGACGTAGGAGCAGGAAATCGCTGGACGTTTCGGCTCTGCGGCAGAGCCGTGAACACAGAGCTGCTGAGGCGCTCTCAATACAGCGCTGAAGGAGGCTGTGGTCGGAGCGTCTGCAGCTTCTCTGCTCTCAGAACTGCTAACGTCTATACATGACGACCAGCAGCCATCAAGCAGCCGTGGTAACTTACAAATTGAATAAGGGTCGAACTAAAACTGCGGCGGTTATAGGAAAACGGCGTGACGAATTGTTTGACGCCTGCTGTAGACAACTGTGATGATGCATGTGGCCAAAAATATCTTCTGACTCATCTGCAACCACATCACCGCTAGCTTCCAGCCGCCAGGGCGGTCAGGCTGTCCAATACTCAGAACCAGCCAGTGCGGCGGCGGGCCACGCGCCACCAGCGGACCGCGGCCGTCCACCGATTACGGGCGGGCCGGCCCGGGACACGGCCCGTCAATTGGTGGGAGTGAAGTCAGCGGGCAGCCGCGGCGATGGCGGCCTGCTTCCGGACTGAGTCAGCTCCGGTTCGGCGCCGCGCCCGCCGATAAAAATACGCTCGCGTGGTGACAGCAGAGCACGCAATTCCGGCCGCCGGGCCCGCGTCATACACGACAGCGCACGCCGGGTGTGGCGGCGTCGCGTCGGCGAGTTGTGAAGGGGACCCGGCGAGTGAAGCGGCTCGGGTCACCGTCCCGGCTCCACGGCCTCATGACGGTCTGAGTCATGTCCATGCAGCTGCACGCGTTCTGAGTGACAGCGGCATTCGGAGGCGGTGGGCGAGCATTGCTGTCTGTGGTGGCGAATGAGGTCAGATGGATGCTATGACCTACGCGATGGCGTTACTTGGCGGGAAGGAAACCTTTTCCGGTCTTTATATTCATGCAGGAAACGGTAAATAACACATACGGGAAGGCTGGTGTACATAAGGGTCGAAATTGCTCGAAATGCATTATTAATGCCTGCGTAGCAAACACCACGCTTTGTTATGGTCCTGGGAGCACCCAGTTGGTTCGAACTACTCAAGATTCGTTTGGATAGCTGGATGAATAGGGGATTTGGTGTTATACAAATCAACCGATGCGAGTGCAACAGCTCGATGGAGACAAGCACTCCATCCTTGAAAATTACACCGACGTTAGGGCACCTTTGTAAGTAAGATAATGCCATTGAATAAATCGCTACGATACATCGGCGATAGGTTGTCATCAGCGCATGAAATTTCACTAAAATATTTCCATAGTTTGAAATGGCAGCGTCGTCTCACACACATTCACTGACGAAATTTACTTTGATATAGGTAAAGAGGCGTCACTTTATACACTTTTATCCCCTTCCCGAAATACTGACTTGAACCCCTCCACTGCCTCTCTGACGCATCCTCCCCTCCCCCCGCCCAAACGCATTCGGGCAGAATGAAGAAATATCGGGCTGAGGAGCAATGAAAATCCTTGACCTGTTAGCACGGTTACCTGAGCACATCACTGAGCATCACGCCCCCTGTATACCGCTTAGTATCCCGTAGCCCTTTAAAGCGGCTAGCGTTATTAGACAAGAGCTGAATTTGGTACCAATCCGTGCATTTGGTACCAATGCACGAAAACCAGGATAAACAAACAGAAGTGAATCCCAGCGATTGTCGAGCCGATCACAACGGCGGTTGAATTTCGTGGCGAAAGTGGTATTTTTTAGTCATGATGTACCTTTCCGTCATTTTACATTTGTGAGTCTGGTCTCATGGCACAAAACCATACGCCGGAAAGACATGAAATGACTAATTGCTACGTGGATGGTAAACAAGAATGCTTGCGGAGTAAAATCTCCCGGCTATTTTGATATACCTGACAGCATTCCATGGGTTCTACACCGATATACAATGACTTTTTAGGCATTTCAGCTCTGTTCAGCAACACCAGCGTAAAATCACCACCAGCGTTGAGGAAAGCTCTTCAAGGGCATCATAAGGAGAAACGTACTAATGGAAAAAATCGATGCGGAATGAATGGCACAGGTAGGCAAATAAACATATTTTGCTCGTAGCGATGTGTTCTAGGACTAACCCTTTCAGATATTCGGCCCAATAATTTTCATCTTCCAAATAGTAAAGCTTCGTCTCTTTCCCGGTGAAGTCCGACTTGACCACCACATTGGCCATGGATTAAACGGACATTGCTCGCCACAATGTCGGACAGCGCCGTTTCGTAAGCACTTTATAAGCATCGAAACAAATGTCATTTTTTAGTTCAAAGATGTCTGATTATTGGGCCTGATAAATGTCTGGTTAGATATATCTTACTGGAAATAATCGCGTCTGAAAATAAGCGCTTGTCGTTTTCTCCAAATCGAATAATAGACCGCAATGGACACTTTTGAGAGTAAAACAAAACGAAAACCGTAGTGTTTGGAGTGTGTCACGAGGCGCAGAGCCGCGCCTGACTTCTGTTGCTTAACTTCTGCTGCCACGGCGGCAAAAGTTTTTGTAACGGCGCGCCGCTGCAAAACACCGGTGCTCTGCCGGACGTCAGCCACCGCAGAGGCAGCCCCGTATCGGCAACACATGACTTCACTGGAGCCTAGTCATCAAGCGCTATCACCTCCGGGACGTCCTGGGCCGGCTGAGGGGCGGACCATGACCTGGTCTGGCCCGCAGACCTTTTGTGGATTGACATTCAGTAATGTAGTTGCGCCACTGTTTGAAACAACGAGTGTAACTTTTGCATCGGTTCCGGAATAATGTTCAAAGGCTTTTTTAATAAACCTGACGACACATTGGGTCTCGCTCCCGTTTATCGCTGTTTTCGTGCTGTTCAGATTGGGACCCTATCAGTTCCTCGTCTCATAACGTTGTGAAAAGGGCTTATTTTTCACTAATGGAATACTGGGGACTTTCGTCGCCGTCTGGTGTTAGCACACACACACACTGTTTCTCATTCCGTTTCATTCCAGTCAAGCTCCGCATCACTCTCCATGTATACGT